AATGATGTGGCACTTCGGCCTTAGTCGCTATCGCTACGGCAAGGCGGGGGGTGGGGGAGACTGAGCTCGCAGCATGCTGATTTGCGTAATGCAATTACAGGCGATATCTGCATTGGTGCTAATTGTTTTCCATTGCGCCCTCCCCCTCATAATTACCAGCCCTACGTGGTGTCAATCGGCCTTAATCCATGCGGTGTTACCTAAAGCAGCATACGCGCAGGCACACGAGGCCCGCAGTGCTCACAATTGGTGCTTTGCCTGCATGTCCAGGGCTCGACATTCTTCGTGATTGTGCGGGGACTACTTGCCTGGGATAAAAGCTCCGGCAGCTTTACATGTGATATTGAGTCCAGGTGTTGTTATGCGTTTTACCACCGAGAAAGATAGGCAGATAAAGAGGAGAGAAGGGAGAATACTAGGTGTACGTATGACTGGTGGAGAAAAAAGGTTGTTTCTTATTCGGGGGATTGTATTTCATACGCAAATCTAACGTTAATGACAAAAACAGCATTAAAAACAATCGACTATGCTTGATTGTACTGGCCAATAAGCAGTCAGTGAGGAAGGTCACAAGTTTATTGCCCTGAACTCTGTATGTCAGCGTATGATCGCTACATCAATCGACTGAAGTCTTATTTGAAGACCGGCCTCTGGTGACTATTCCGCTTGCGTTACTTCTAGAGCGTACAGTTATCTTGGCAACTGCAAAGTTTAACTAAGGACACCTATCGACGCTGCGGGCAGCCATCAGTAAAACGTACTCGTCTCGTCGCTCATTCCGCTGATGTTCATGTATGTGCGATGCGATAGTGGGCCCTCTCAGATCTGTGAATCTACAAGGAGCATTCAGCCTTGGTATGCCATGCAATGCTTTGGACTCCATCATTTTCCCTCGTGAAGTTTACATCGGAGAGGGGGCACTGCATGGATTACGATATTATAATTCTGCAGGATGTTGTCAAAGTGGTGGCACCGAATTAGTTGTTAATGCTTGCTGAAGGGGGTCTCTATTCGCACATATTGAGCTCCTGCTACCAGTAAACCAGAAAAGTGTGAGGTCACTGGTCTGCTACTAAGTTACTGAGCAAATTTGGCGCAGAGTTTGAGCCGAATTCATGCAGATGCATGATGCGCCCAAGTCTTGTCTTGTGCTGATTCAGATATCACTTGTGCTACAATTCATGCATCAAAAGCAATAGTATGGATGTGAATACTGGCACCATCACAACTTCCATAATCCGTAAAGGCTAATGCCGGTACTGCTGAATGTGTCTCTAATCCGGCCGTGCTAACCTCCAGTTTGCACCATTTTGGCGGCTTAATGCACTATGATTAAACTCGCTGG